GTGTTTCAGTCCTCCTGACCTCCCAGCTCCCACCATTCCTCGCAGCTACTCACCTGTGTTGTTGCTCAGTGAGTAGCTGCTCCTCAAATGAGGAAATCTAATGTAAATGTACTGCGCAGGTGCGCAGTTCAGAGAGGGCTCAAGAGCTACTCCTAGAGCCCCTGAGATCTACCGGTAGCTCATGATCTACTGGTTGGTGACCACGGTTATAGACTAACAGATTCAGCTCCCACCATTCCTCGCAGCTACTCACCTGTGTTGTTGCTCAGTGAGTAGCTGCTCCTCAAATGAGGAAATCTAATGTAAATGTACTGCGCAGGTGCGCAGTTCAGAGAGGGCTCAAGAGCTACTCCTAGAGCCCCTGAGATCTACCGGTAGCTCATGATCTACTGGTTGGTGACCACGGTTATAGACTAACAGATTTATTGGAGCATAAGCTTTTGTGGGCAAAGACCCACTTTGTCAGATGTATGTCAGAGGCTTGATCTAACTAACAAAGTTAACAGGACTCTTTCCTTTATCCTAAGTGGGAGTTGGATTAGGCCCTATATGCACATAGGGAGAAGATCAAATCACTTTAACTGACCATTAGAAAATATTAGCATGTATAAGAGTAACATGTTTAAATCTAAAGTCATGGTATCTGAACACCTAGGTTGCAATTTCCCTCCTTCTTATTGGTTAGATGGGAAGGAGATCCCAATATGTATTCAAGTTCTAAACCAGATCAATATTTTAATTAACATATTGCCAGTGGATGACAAAGGTTTCTGTTTCTGCACTTGTATTTGATATAAGCACTTCTAATGCAGACCTTTTTTTCAATCTCCAAAGGAAGTCTCACATCCCTCCTCAGGAAAAGCTGTGGAGTTTCCCTGTGAGGATCCAAGTTTGTCAATTCAGTGAGTATTTCGGGCCAGTCCCGAACATGCTGCAATGGTTTATGATATGGCTTCAGCTGGAGGCCTGGAAAAGAACAGCTTTTTGTTTAAAATAATAAACAGGGAAATCAAGCAATACATGCACAAATTAATGCTATATTAAAATGTCTGAACTAAGAATTCACTTATCTCAAGCAAAACAATGTTTCCTTTTTAACTACCATGTATAAAGGTTGCAAAAAGGTTGCAAAAATCACAGCAGTGGCCACATCAGTAATTCAGTAAATGCATGCTTGAATTATGTTCAGCTTCTTAAAAATTAACTGAAATTCTTTAAAAAAAAAGTAACTTTAAAAATTGAAAGTATGTAATGAAACAAATGGGTGGACCTTAAAACTACAAATCAAGGGCTCTGGTAAGGACTGCAGGATTGGGCCAAGACACCAAATCACTTCTACAAAGCCTGTGAAACACAAATAGCTAATTCAGGGAATGGAACTACATTAACTATAAGGTTTTAATGATTGCATCAAATATTTTAAGAGAAATACAGAACCCAGAACTCAGGTCTTGAAAGGAAATTATACCTTTGGTTTGTTTTAGAAACATATTTGCCATTTTATAGACTGCAATTGTTCCAGGATAGACACTGTGCCCTTTCTGTGGTCCGTGAAGCAACATGATCCCAACATTTTGCAACCGTGCAGTTTTTCTTACTTCCCTACTACTATGGAGGCAGATCTACAGTTCTAGATCCTTATGCCAACCTGCACACAGCTGCAAGTACAGTCAGGCAACCCATATGCCTATCTTGATTTTCCTCATGATCTCCATACTGTCTTTAGCTCTTTACCACACCACTCTCACTTCGCTGGCTTCTGCACAGCTACTGCCCATTCAGAAACTTCTCCCACTACTGTCACTGATTTATCCTTCCCACATTCAAAACCCTTTACAGTTAAAAAACATCATAACATGTCATAATAAAAAGCTAACAAGAAAACTATTACCAAAGTTGACGTCTCAAAGTATTTTCAAAGAACATCTTGGTTTAAATCTATACTATACACAGTTAATCACATGGAGTCTTCCTTTTTTGGAAAATTCAAATGCTTAGTCTAATTTGGAAAATTATGAATGTTTCATAGAATTACTTGTTGGTAACAAAAACTAACAAATCAGTAACACTTCCCTGTACAACAAATAACCTCTCTCAGTATTTTGGACAAAATAAGATGGAACATGCTGTCAGAAGGTACAGGGACTAGAGCTGGGTGATTTTTTTTTTAAACACACATTCTTGGAAACTAGCTGATCCACTCAGCATAAGAAAGCAAACAAACAGTTTAGGCCAGAGACAATGAAATAACTCTATAGATCGGTGATCAGTGTACTCATTTGGGAAACTCATTTGTCCCTTCTTCAACAATTCTTTAATTATTTATGCACAGTGGAACAGCTTCAATAGGAAAGACTGAGGGAGACCCACATTAAGCTATCCTGTTGCCCAGTGGCTAGGCAACTCTCCTATACAGGGCCGACTTTAGGAATTGCAGGGCCCAATTCGAACAATTTTGATGTGGGACCCCGCAGCAATTTTAGTTGAGCAAAAAAACCAACCACGCACACGAAAGTTTCAACCGGGTTTGCCGGGGGGGGGGGGGGGGGGGGGGGGGGGGCAGTGACCTCACAGGGGCTTTGGGCAGCCCTCAGCAGATCAGGCAAAGGGCAGGTGGGGAGGTGGTGACCTCACAGAGGAACAAAAAATCCCAGCTACCTCTCCCACCAAGCCACAAAGGTAGCTAACACCCCTCTCCATCCCACGGTGCAAGCAAACCCTGCGCTCAACTCACACCTCCTGTGGTGCAAGCAGCTGCCGCAATCCTCCTCCAGGGCTGATGCCCACTCCCACAGCGCGCCCGGCACACTTCCGGGTTCAGGGCGTGGGGCCCGGTTTGGGGGAAATCGGGCGAATTGGCCTAAGGCCGGCCCTGCTGCTATACGGTGGGAGATCCAAGTTCCATTACCTTCTCCATGTTAAGCAAACCTGGGGGAAGAGCTGAACCAGAAGTCTCACATCCCATAAGTACCCTAATCATTGGCCTAAGCTTACGTTGAGGCAATACCGCTTCCTTTTACTGCCCTATTTTGTGCATCTAGCACTTCATTAATGTCCCAAAACACAAAATTTTGGGTTGAACTTAACATTTTGCTCAATTAAAAGTGACTTTTCAGTTTACTGAGATTTTCAAATGTGGTTCCATCTAAACTATTTTCCCCATCATTTTTCAGAAATGCTAGAAAACAAAACCAAAAACCAAACACACACAACAGTTTTTTGCCCTGTTCTAAATGGACACAAGCATCAAAACATCACTAGCCAGATTCCTTTTATCTCAAAGATTGCAGCTCTGTGTTTGTATGTCTGCTGATGGCTGTGCATAAAGTAAAGGAAGTTAACTAACAGTGATAAAAATGGGAGAAAATGGCTGGAAAGAAAAACTGGAAAAAAAAAGCATCATTCAAAACAATTTAAAACTATAAACACATACTCCTCTTATTTTAAATTCCAGATATTAAAAGAAAAAGCAGCACTGAAGTTTTGACACTAACACTGAATTCTTAATACACAGCTTTTGTACTAACACTATCAGAAGCAGCGTGTCGAACCCAATTTGAAGCAGTCGAACTCATGGTTGTTTCTCACATTTAATTTGCATTAAAAATGAGCCCCACAGCAACCTTGTCACAGCAATACAGTTTACAACCTTTTCTGATAAGCAATCATAATTATGACTTGCTATAAGTCATGCATGGCTCTATCTATCTTTCTGAAATCTGGTAGGAAAGAGAAGGTCTGAATACTGCTAAAGAAAAAGAATTACAAAGATCTATACTGTACATATGACTTTAATCCAAGAAGATTCTTAAACAGCCTGAAAAAGCTAGCAATAGGAATAATCATGCTTCTGCTATATATAGCTGAGAACTTGTATAAAATTTAAAAAGCACACACCAAAGTTGGAGCAGTTAAACAATGTGCTCTAAGAATGGTTTTCCTTAAAGCATTCTGAAGAAGAGCCAATTTCTGGCCCAATGCTGATCAAAAAGGCCAAGGAATTTTATCAGCAAATAGAAATGACCGAGACCTTCATTTTTTCTGATGGTTGACTGACATGTTTTAAGGTGCATCATGGTATCAGAAGGCTTGGTGTGTCTGGAGAGAAATAGTCTGCTGATCATGAGACCAGAGAGAAATACTGTATATTTAAGAAACTGATTTGGGAGCATGGCGTAACCCCAGAGAACATTTACTATGCTGTCAAAATGGCACTCTTTTGGCAATGTCTGCCGTTTTCAATCCCTGCTGGTGCAGGTGAGGTTGGTGCACCTGGAATCAAGAGGAACAAGGACCACATCACTCTGCTTACATGTGAAAATGCTGCTGGCACACACAAAATCAAGTTGCTAATGGTTTCAAAATTCAAGCAGTTAAGAGCATTCAAGGGTACTGTCCATCTGCTAGTGGAGTACAAGGCACAGCCTAATGTATAGATGGACAAGGGCATATTTTTATACCAGTTCCACCATATCTTTGCTCCTGCTGTGACAGACCACCTGAAAGAACTTGGGAGTGTCAAAAGACAGAAGTGTTATTCTTGTTTTAGATAACTGTCAAGCTCACCCTTCTGAAGCAGAGCTTCAGTCTGGCAATATTTTCACTGTCTTCCTGCCAGCAAAGTCACCTCATTTATTTAGCCAATGGATCAGGAAATTATTCAAAACCTAAAAGTAATTTATAGAAGGGATTTTATGAGGAAGCTGCTCATCTTTGAAGGAACAATCCAAGCGTTTCAGCTAGGGTACAGCATTAAAGATGCAGTCTTCAATGTGGCATGGGCCTGATCTGCTGTCAAGACTATAACTTTAAAGAGAGCATGGAAAAAATTGTGGATGAAAGTGATACTTGTGGAGAGGTCCTCTGATGAAGAAGTTCAAGGCTTCAACATAAGACCAAAAAGAACGCTACAAGAGATACTTGATGTCAAACAGGCAACCCCACAAACCCTGTCACTAAACTGAAAGATCATGTACATGATCAAGGATAACAGACACCATATCTAAGCTAATGAAAAAAGTGTGTTTTTAAAGATTTTTTTCCAGGTGTTAAAAAAGCCACAGAATTCCCCTTCCCCAAACCCAGTACTTCAACACTCCCCAGGTTCAAAGTCTCATCTAACAACCAACTCACTATCTACCTAGTCATATCTAGTTTTTTCGGCAACTACTTCTCTGCACTACAGTGAGTAAAATTCGTATTAGTATTTTAAAGGTCTCAAGAATAGCTCAGCAATGAAGAAAATGAAGGGACAATATCTATGACAAAAGAAAGCTGGCAAATTTATTGTTTGCTCTACCAGACTTGCTCATTCCTTTTTAAATTTAGCAAGACATTTACAAAAATAAATGTAAAAATACCCAAACAAAACACGCACACACAAAAAGAAAAAAAAAAACAATAACCACAACAATTTTGGAAGTTCTCTTATTACTTACTAAGGTTCTCAGAACAAATCCAAATAGTAAAGTACTGCTGTGTTTCTTGAGATAGACGCATTCCTTCCATTATCTGCTGTACAGTAGTATTGTTTCCATGTTTCAATTCAACAGAACGATATGACCCATCCATTCGATAAATCCGTACCTTTTCATACTATGGCAAAAATATATTAAAATACCATTAAAGTAAATTAGAGACAAATTAATCATAAGTTAAAATCCTGCTTCTCTAGTGCTTTCATTTGTATACATATCAATTTTTAATTCAATTTAGCAGCATTTACATTTTGAGAAAATATATTTATCTTGGATCAGAATACTCTCCACCAATCTGTGGGGTCTCTGAGACTTATAAAGCATTTTCTCTCCTCTACGTTCTTAAGTTGTCCCCAAAGCAGAACAAAGCATAAACACCTTCAAAAATCTGGGGCTAAGCGCCTACATATACCTTGCCACATACATTCTATGATTACTACTACTGATTGACCTTGAAGTATTTATACAATTAGCTTATATTAAAACATCGTATTGTTACCTTTTCCTCCCTGCACCCTCTAATTTGTTTCACTCACCCTTTAAGTTTTATCTTTCAGTCCATAAAGTCTTTAGGGCAATGATCTTAATTTATTACATGTCCTACTACAAAGTGGCCCTCATCATACTTGAGACCACTATTTTTTATTCAAAACTCTCATTAAATTCAATGGATTGTGGTACAGAACAGGTCTCACTACAGTTATGCTTTAAGCCTGCGATTAATTTTATGTATGCCGTAAAATAAATAATCCCACTGAAGTCAGTGCAACTATTCATGTGCTTCAGTATCAACCTGAACTAAGGGCTTAAAAATCTATCACCAGTTGTTTCAATGGTTTAGCTGTTTAAAAAAAGTTGCAAACATTTATTATAATAGCACTGTATTTTATCATCTCCTCTCTGCTCAGTCTTTCCCCATAAAAGAAACTTTTATGCAGAAAAGTGAATGTCTTGGAAAATTATGATGGACTGAAAATGAGGTTAGAATGGAAAACATTTTACAATCTTACTGTATAGCACTTGCTCCCACTTCTACTGTGGTAAATTCAATGATCAAACATGTAGTTTTACTATATCTTTTAGGAAAATAACACAGCAGGGCACAGATCATCAAACACGTTCTTGGAATATACTAGAGACAATTTTTTACTTCAGAAAGGGGAGAAGCTACGGGAGGGCGGGGGAAGAAGCTGTTCTATATTTGATTTTAACAAATAGAGACTGGCTGAGAATTTGAAAATGGAAGAAAGTGATCATGAAATGAGAGGGTTCATAATTTTAAGGAATGACAGAAGGAAGAACAGCAAAATAAAGACAAGGGATTTCCAAGAAGGCAGACTTTAGCAAACTTAAGGAGCCGATAGGTAAGGTAAGAAGGCAAGACAAAGAGGAAAAACAACTGAAGACAGTTGGCAATTTTTCAAAGGGACATTAAGGGTGCAAGAACACACTGTTCCACTGCATAGAAAGATAGGAAGTATGGATCATGGGGAAAGCAGTAGACTTGGTACACCTAGACTTTAGTAAAGCTTTTGATACAGTCCTGCATCACCTTCTTATCAATAAACTAGGGAAATACAGCATAGATGGAGCTACTATAAACTTGTGGCACTGGTAACTGGTTGGTGGTTCTCAGACTAGTTATCAATGGTTCACAGTCATGTTGTAAGAGCACAACAAGTGTGGTTCCAAAGGAACCAGTTTTTGGACCAGTTCTGCTGATTATCTTCATCAAAGATTTAGGTCAGTGGTTCTCCAACTGTTCTTTGGGCCCACTTCGGAAAAGCTGCTAGTGGGTCTGTGCCACTTTGTTTATCTAAAGGACAGGGTAGGCTCATTGCTCAGAGAAGGGGGAAAAACAATTATGGCCCACTTTGGTTCTGGTTTGCTTTTTCTAGCCACGGGGGACGCAGGAAGTGGTGGCAAACCGGAGCCAACGGGAGCCGCAAGACTCCGTGGCTACAGAACCTTTAGATAAGCAAAATGGAACAGGCCTACTAGGGCTTTCCCAAAGAGAGCCTGTAGAACAGTTTGAGAACCACTGATACAGGTAATGTCATAGAGAGTGTGCTTATAAAGTTTGCAGATGGTACCAAGCTGGGAAGGGTTGCAAGTGCTTTGGAGTATAGGGTCATAATTCAAAATTATTTGGACAAATTGGAGAAATGGTCTGAGGTAAATAGGATTAAGTTCAATAAGGACAAATGCAAAATACGCCACTTAAGGAGGAACAATCAGTTTCATACATGCAAAATGGGAAATGACTGGCTGGGAAGAAGTATTGTAGAAAGGGATCTAGGAGTCATAGGGGATCACAAGCTAAATATGAGTCAACAGCATGATACTGCTGCAAAAAAAGCAAAGATCAGTCTAGGATGCATTAACAGGAGTGTTATGAGCAAGACATGAGAAGTAATTCTTCTGCTCTACTCTGTGCTAACTGAACCTTAACTGGAGTATTGTGTCCAGTTCAGAAAAGATGTGGAGAACTGAAAAGGTCCAGAGAAGAACAACAAAAACATGAGCTATGAGGGAAAACTGAAAGAACTGGGTTTGTTTAGTTTGAAAAAAGAGAACACAGAGGGGACATGATAGCAGCTTTCAAGTACTTAAAAAGTGTGTTACAAGGAAAAGGAAAAAAAATTTTCTCCTTAACTTCTAATGATAGCACAAGAAACAATGGGCTTAAATTGTAGCAAGGGAGGTTTAGGTTGGACATTAGGAAAATCTTCCTAACAGTCAGTGTGGTTAAGTACTGGAACAAATTGCCTAGGAAAGTAGTGGAATTTCCATCATTGGAGATATTTAAGAGCAGGTTAAATAAACATCTGTCAGGGATCTGGCAAGTGCTTGGTCCTGACATGAGGACAGGGGACTGAATTTGATGACCTCTCATGGCCCCTTCCAGTTCTAGTATTCTATGATACTATGATGTATCTGATTATATTAAAAGGCAACACCACCTATTATGCTAGGAGCTTAGAACAACTGCTTTCTATGGCACAATGACAGGGATCAGTTCCTTCTTCAATAAATGAAAATTTGCTTTTAAATAACATCAGCATACTGTATCAATATATAAACATTAGTATACATACAAAATGAAACTGACAGAATGCCCAGTAGAGGCAGTAGAATTTGTAGTATTTAATACTTCTACAAATCAAAGGACTACTTTTTAAAAGTGTACGTATGGTTCTACAGCCACGTACAAGGAACAAACATTCAAAGTGACATGCTTTTTCTGGTTCACACCCTGTTGACTGTCATTGCTATATATGGACCTATCACTTGCCTTGGATTTCTACTCTGTATACATTTTCTAAGACTTTAAAAAAAATGTCCATTAAACTGTTTAAAAAGTAAACACATACAGGTTTATTTATGGCTTCCTTTAGGAGTTTTGCTGTTTCTTCCCAATCATTTTGTTTGCTCTCTTCACAGACATTCAAAGGGGATCTTCTTTGTTGATCAGTAATGTGCTACAAATATTAACAGAAATACCTGAATAAATATAGTTTTCAATCTAGAATGGTAAATGTTAATAAGTTTAGATAATTAAAATATCTGGGATTTTCTATAATATTTAAATCATACCTTGTTCACAGAGTTCAAAAATGTGATTGTTTAAACAGTTTTAATTAATTGTGCTTTTCTGTTTATTTTGTCTGTTTCCAGTAGCCTCTTCCCAGGAAAACACTAGTATAAAATGAGCAAATGTGTTTGCAGGCCAAAAGTGAGGAGTATTGGCATAGCTGTATGAAAAAACTATGACTTATTCTAGTCAGTGCTGTCAGTCATTTATCACTGAAGCACCAATTTGACTCAATTTAAAAAATATAATGTTAGCATTCTAATTTTGTATTATGGTGCATTCTGACATATACTCTACATAAGAAGTAAAATACATAGTCATAAATCTTCTGTTGTGGTGACAGTGCTGGAGAAGGGAGTTTGTAGTTCTCATACAACTTATGTATTATCAATAAATTAATATAACCAATAGCAAAAACTACTGCTCCACTAGATGGACTTATAACTTTGCTTCTATAATGTTAAAACTTCAGTCCTAGCGTGTATTTTCCACCTGTATATTATCACACTATGTACGTTTGTTATTGGACATAGTATGTACAGATTGGACCTCTCTGGTGTGGCACCCCTGAGACCCGAGCAGTCCCGAACAAGGTGTGAAAGCAGGCTCTTTGATGGCCAGGCCTCTCGCGCGTATTGCCATTCGAGCAAAAGGTCAACTTCCCCTTGATGAAAAACCCTTACACTATGTAACAAAGATCAGCGAAGAACAGGAACAAAAACCAGACCTGAAAAGTTCATGTAAAGTTTGTGCTGACTGTGCCATGCCTGATAAGGCAGAAAAGGAAAAACTGGAAACCATCTCACCCCCTTACTCCTGTCACTTAGGCTAGTAGACCCTGTCTGCTAGCCTATCACAAAAAGCGCGCAAAAGCTTTCTCTATAAAACATCTTCCCCTCCTGTATCAAATTGAGAAATCCTGAATAAACATTGAAAGGCAGAATACGAGCCAGGTCTGATGACTAATCACCTGAGAGCCACCTCCCGCTCACCGAACCAAATGAGATCCTGTAGCGCGTAACATATACCAAACATGATGTTGTTGTAGTTTGTGTGTCTGTTAAATATAAGTATTATCTGAAATTGTTTAGAGGTATTGTTAAGTAGTGGTGTTAAGAGTTTTAGATAAATGATTAATCTTATAAGTAAATGTAACTGTTAATAATCCCTAGTCCCTTGTTAACAACTATTGGGATTTAGAGAAACCTCAAGGAATTTTCTTTACTGTATTGCATTTTGCTTATTGGTGATTCTAATAATTATTTGGTGCCTACGTATGTAAGAAATTGATAAAATACTAATAGATACATAGAAGCCCTTTAATAAAAGTTTAAAAGAGATTTAGTAATAGTTTGCCTGTTTCTGTGCCTCCCTGGGACTAGCCACATTCCCGAACCTTTTACTTTATTCCACACAAGGGACTTCGCTAGACTAGGGGAGGTCAGGCATTGGGCTCTCCTGGGACTTCCGTCTGGCCGCTTCCTGCAGCCCACCTGCTGGGCTCAGCTGGGGATCCTCTCCAGGATGCCGGTCTCACTCTGGCGGATGGGGCTCCATCTGGGCAGGTCTCACTCCAGCCACAGCAGGGCTCTGCTGCCCCAGCTGGCAGGGCTCCCTACCTCCAGCCACAGGCTGGGCGCTCTACCGCCAGACCACCGGCCCTACGGGCTGCCAGCTGCTAGCAACTTCTGCAGCTGCAACTCGTTGGTCCAGCAACATCCATGGTGCTGTCCGTCCACAGATGTTGCCGAACCAGAGAATCCTGGACCACAGAGGTTCAACCTGGATATACAACATATATATACAAAAATGGTGCAGAATTTGATTGCTTTCCTCTCTCTACCATTTGCACGCTGAAGAAAGGAACTAACACCATACATCTTTTATAAAAGTGTTACCACTTTAGACATGGACTTCTCCTGCTCTACTTGTCTTAACTACTCATTGTCTTTTTTGGGAGGCAGGCACGGTCTCTAGGGGTCTACGAGAGCACCTAGAACAGTGTTTCTTAAACTTTAAGACTGAGGAACACCAACAATTTTTGTTTTTAAATACGGGGAACAGCAAGGATTTTTTTGTTAAGAAAAAAAGAGCCCCAGGGAAAAGCTGTTGAGCAAAAAAAACAAACAAGCAGAAGGCTTGTCCCTTTAAGGGCAGCCATTTTGAATTCTATTCTCTCCACAGCACACCTGCAACTGCCTCGAGGCACACCGGTGTGCTGCAGAACACACTTTAAGAAACACTGACCTAGAAGAAAGAAGCTCCTTCTAGGAGCATAATGATACTATAGCAACAATAATAATAAAAAAGACCATTAAGTAGAAAAGTAACAAAAAAGTGCAGTTTTAGCAAACTCCAGAAGCTGAGGAATTTATTTCTTGATAATGACTAGGAACTTTACAAAAAGATAGTGAGGGCTTATACTAAAATCTCTAGTAAAATTCAGTTAAAATCCAGTTGACAAAGGGGCCCACCACACCACGCTGCAGGCTGTGGATGCTCCAATCTGGCTGTGCCCACCACGCTGCAGGTGCTTCAACTCATCTGGGCTGGAGCAGTCCCCACCTGTAGCGCCACAGGCCTGGCTCAGCCTGAGAAGTCTCAACCCATGGCACAGCGTGGTAGACTTGGCCTGAGCAGCCCCCACCCACATCGGGTTCAGACAGGCCTGAGTAGCCTGTGGTGTAGCAGGCCCAGTCGCGCTGGAGTAGCCCCCTGTCCGCACCGCACCACAGGTTGGGGGTTGCACCAGTACAATTGAGCCCTCCACCCATGGGATCCCAGTTACTCAGTTAAACATAATGTTTGATTAAACAGGATTTTACATCCTTAGTTTATAATGTATGTCCTTTTTAATTTAATGAGACAATCAAGAAATGAAACTGCATTTCTTTGTTTTTTACCTTGGGAACTGGAGACTTACAATATATGAGAGATATTTTAAGTATGTGCTGCAACTACAGTTAAGACTATAATTCCAGTTACAAAGTTATCTTACTCTGTCAATTTCAGGATGGTTTAGAAGAATTTGCACAATTTCAGCATGTCCTCCTCCAGCAGCAAAATGAAGAGGAGAACTAAGTTGTCCATTCAATAGGTTTGGATTACATTTCCCTTTCTCTAGCAACATTCGAGTAGCTTCAACTTTTCCATACCTAGAAGAGAAATTAAAAGCAGAATAGACACAACAAAGAACGCAAGATAAAAAAAAATCTTATTTCAAGGGCTTTCAGAGATATTCCTGAATGTTTTGGACATAAGTCATATTTAGAATAGAAAAATGTGATCTGGATGAAATCACTACAATATGGGTGCGAAACTGGTTGAATAATCATAATACAAGAGTATCAATATATTGATCCCAAATTGTGAGGAAGTATCTAGTATCTAAAGAGTTCTGTTGTGGGTCCAATACCATTCAAGAATTTCATTAAATTACTTTAATAATGGAGCGGAAAGTATGCTTATAAAATTTGCAGAAGACACCATTACCAGGAGAAATTGCAAACACTTTGGAGGATAGGGTTATATCAAAATGATCTTAATAAATAGGAGAACAGGTCTGAAATTAACAGATGAAATTTAATGAAGACAAATGAAAATTACATATAGGAAGGAAATACCAAATGCAAAAAATGAGGAAAAAGTAACTAAGCAGTACTATTGCAAAAAAGGATCTAGAGACTATAGTGAATCACAAATTTAATATGAGCCAACAATATGATTGCTGTGAAAAAGGTAAAATATCATTCTGGGATGCATTAATAGGAGTGTCATGTGTGTGATTCTGGAAGTAGCTGCTCTGTTCTACTCTGTCTTTAAACATTTTCAGGGATGTTACAAAGAGAACAGTGATCAATTGTTCTCCATGTCCACTGAAGATAGAACAAGAAGTAATCAACTTAGTTTGCAGCAAAGGAGATTTAGTTTAGATATTAGGAAAACCTTTCTAAATATGAAGATAGTAAAGTACTGAAATAGGCGTCTAAGTGAGTTCATGGAATCCCGGTCATTGAGATTTTTTTTAGGACAAAATACCAGTCAGATATGGTCTAGGTAAACTTGTATCCTGCCTCAGCACGGGGAATGTTGAGTCTTTTCAGGGTCTATATTTCTATGATACAAAGAACAGAGCTGTCTTTTAACAACTGTAGTTCAATTGCATTTGTACAGAATAAAATTCCCCTTTTCTGGATAAACCAACTCCTCATGTGCAGTTTAGTGGAAAACAGATTTGAACTATTTGAATTTTTAATGAGCTAAAACATTTTAGAATTCTTTAAAAGAAGTGCAATTTCTTTCACTCTTCAGTAATTCAAACCATAGCTAAATTTTCCTCATTTCCTCAAAAAATTCACTTCTTGGCTAAGAAAACATGTAAAGATAAATATCCAAAGGACATATTTTCAGAAGGGAAGCATCAAGGGTTATAATGAAACTCCTGGTGTAATGTTATGTATAGTGGCCAGGTTACAACTATAAGACATACTACAAAAAACAATACATAGAGCCAAAAGTAAACACTGAAATAATAAAAATGAAGGAACATAGTATTTAAAGTTCTTGCTCTTTACCTTTTACTTTGAAAATAGAATAATCAAACAGTTGTATAATAATAATTATGCTCCTCACTTCTATACCACATTCTAAGGTTTCCACACATGAAATCCAGTTTACTTTGCATCATTTATGTGGTTAACTATCTGTATTTGCCTAAGCATAGTCTAAAATCAATGAAGTCAATTTCACATTTGTTCAAATGTCAATTTCACTTTCAAATTCTCAGTACTGTAATATTTACATAAGAATAATTACAGATTAACAAAAATATTTTCACTGAAATTTCAGAAAAATATTGAAACATTTCTATTGGTTTGAGGGTCTGTGACATTTGTTTTAACATCTACATTTTTGGCTAACTTTCAGTTGCTGGTATTCTTTTAATCAAATTAAAAATAGAAACTGGTATTCTAGATCAGATCCCATGGTCCATCTAGTCCAGTACACTGTCTCTGATAGGGGATAGCATCAAATGTTCCAGAAGTACAAGAATACTAGCATTAAGCTGATTTAGGTTCATGTCTCATTAGATCTCCACTTCTAAACCTTTTAGTCAAAGATGAAGTTATCCTGTGGCCAAATTTCCCATGGTCCCATAAAGTTTGTTTATGGCCACCAGTCCTGGTTCTCAATGTTCTGTGCTGTGATTTAGCTCTAATTTACTCTTAAATATCTTCTAAGAGCCCGGTAAACAGTGAAAATTTTGTTAATGCAGCTAGACAATATTGACCTCCTATGATTAGGCACCAGTCAGGTCCCAAGGGTACTGGACTAGAGGTTCAAACTGTATATTAAATCATACAAGTTCTTAGTGGTAGAGGTTTTCAAACATAAATACCAGAAATACATTTGTCTGGCAAAAATACTCACCAGCATGCATAATGAATAGGTGCCCAATGGTCACTATCTAGCTGGTTGACTGAAAAGTTGTCATCAAGAAGGCGACTCAGTAATTCTGAGTCTCCTTCACAAGCACTGCGATGAAGAGGAAAATCATCTACCCATTGGCGCTCTCTAGCAATGAAAAGCAAAATATAAAAAAGATGCAACTCACTTTTATCTCAACAATCAAACACAAATAAACATAAAAATGATGCAACTTATGGGTATCTAATGATGTGTATAAAGCACAACCAGCTAAAATGAGTCAATGTTTATACAATTAGAACTTAGGTATGACAGATGGCTAGCCACAACTAATATTGCTCATGCTAAGAAATACTCATTTTAGTGCCGCTTCATCTTCCAACTTTCCCCCCATTCCACTTCACATTTCTTTGTTTCATCAATTGGTAGTGTTCTGCTGCAGGCATTCTGGGGACTGCTTTTTATATAAATCTTTGTTCAGTCCCGAATGCATGAATGGGGCTTTTGACACTATTATAATATGAATACATAATATAAAACAATTGTATAAATGTAACACAATACTTGTCTTCCATGACACTGCTCATGCTGCGTTGCCACTTCTCTCGTTTTGGAATCTGAATCTTTGAATAGTCTGGAGCTCCAAGACCAAAATACGGATTTATAACCACTTTATCAACCTAAGAAGGAAACATAATATTAAAAAGGAAAAAAACTCTGAAAAACTTTTCATTGAGACTTGAATAAAACAAATCATAATAGACTTGTATGCTCCACTGGAACCAACGTAAACACAGAGAGAAGTCCTGTGGAACCTTATAGACTAACAGATTTATTAGAGCATAAGCTTTCATGGGCAAAACCCACTTTGTCAGATGCATGTGATGAAGTGGGTCTTTGCCCATGAAAGCTTATGCTCCAATAAATCTGTTAGTCTATAAGGTGCCATAGGACTTCTTGTTGTTTATGCAGATTCAGACTAACACGGACACCCCTCTGATAAATGTAAACACTGTAACTTCTTGCTGTTAGAGGGAAAGTTTTTCAAATATGCATATTGGAAAATTAAATTGGGCTACAAGTGTGCACTGAGAAAACCTCAGTTAAGATTCAATATATGATTATCAAATCCCTTTCACAACAGAAATATAGTTCATACTACAGGACGCTTACCCTGTTTGTATATTGAAGATCTGACCCGAACAAAGGGTTGTAGATACATGTATCTGCTTTCTCCAGTGCCAACATTTTACTCTTTATTTCTAATGCAGTATATCCCATGTGTAGAGAGCTCTCTGTCTGCCCAGGTTCAATAGCATATGCAGGATTTGTGACGTTCGTTTTAATCCTCTCAAGAGGAGATGGTCTGAATAGAGCTGGGATTGAATGAGAATGTGTATGTCGTTCATCTAACCACCTGCAGAACAGAATAGAAAAGGCACACTACTGTTCTGAAGATAAATAAAGTACTAATTCTTTAGACACTTTTTGGGAAGTCAAAAATTGTTGTGTGCATGAAGAGGCTACAGAATCAGAACCCAATTCTGTTATGAGTTGCTCCTCTAACTCTAATGTGCTTTTAATGACACAGGAGGAGGAATATGCCCCTTGTTTAGGTTAAGCGGGGGAGAAACCATAGGGACATTCATACACTCCCCTTGCTATTATAAAATTTTGCCACCCTCATGTGCATTGTGGAGCACTGCTTAAAGCAAGCATTTACTATCGTCAGAAGACTGCGTTGGCATTTAATTGCTGATTTATGTTGTCATTCAGTTAATCAGTTGTCATTCAGTTGTGGGTTTTGGGGGCTTTCTGGAGGTAAGTCATATTTTGTGTGGGTTCTCACATACTGCAATACACAAGTTGGGGTTGAAATCTTTATAGGGAAAACATTTATGGAAAATGTTATTAGTTAATCATTAAGATGTAAGTATCATAAATTTGGGAATCTCGAGATTTAAATAGTATAACCATGTTTCTCTCATAATTATCTGGTAGAAGAATTATCAGTCAATCCTCAAGATTTGCTTGTTCTTTTAAAAAAATTTTTTTTTTTACTGAGGACAGATTTACACTTCCACGAACATTGACGTTCCAGAGGTCAATCTTCCAGCACCCAAGTTAGTGGGTCTGGTAAGGACCCGATAAATCAAATGCCTAAGGTGCCCCCATCAATCGCAGAACTCTTGCAGTTGCAAGGAATAAGGGAAGTAAATGGGAGATTCTCCATTGTGGGACCATCCCAGAAAAATCAATGCAAGTTACAGCTACTCCAGCTACACAATTCATGTAGCAGAAGTTGCGTAACCTGCATCCATTTTCTCCACCAGTGTAAACCTGGCTTTAGAAAACATGCGATACCACCATTATTTCCTTCTCAGAGATCACAAGAAAGCAGTAAAACAGATCTAATTTTTCATATTTGCTGATTTCCTTGTCTATTTTCTACTTTATGTATTTCTACTAATGGCATTTCTTACTTATCCAAGGCTATTAACATTCTAGCAGTAAGTGTAGCAAAATGAGTGCTGGATTCGCTGCAGACCCTCATGATGTCCTGTAAACAGTAGAAAACTGGGCATCCAGGACTGTATGTGTATTTTGTATTATCTAAAAAGAAAAGAGAAACACAGAAAACTCTTCAACAGCAATACAAATCCTTGTTTTCCTCATTTGCAGTTACAGAATATCATCTCTTCTGGCTGAAATTGTATTTCTAGGCTATAGGAGATAGGGATATAAGCAACTAGTCTATCAGAGAGAGGCAGCAAGGGGAGGGAGCAGGATCTGGTGCTGGAGGGAGACAGCTTAAAAACTGGTTCCCCCCAGCACCATCTCTATGGGGAAAAGGGGCGGGGCACAGTGGGGAACTGGTGACTGCTACATTTCAAATGCAGAAGTGCTGCTGGGACCCTGGGGCAAGCTGGAGACTCAAACAGTTCCCCACTGGCCTCACGGTCCCTGCTTCTGAAATGTACAAGAGTCCCAGGAGGGCTCTTGTACATTTTAAAAGCAAAGCACCACTGGGAGCGTGGGGTTAGCGGGGGACTCAAACAGTCCCCCATTGATCCCACTCTCCCTGCTTGTAGGGCTCTTGTACATTTCAAAAACAAGGAGCGTGGGGCCACCAGGCCACTGCTTGAGTCCCCTGCTGGCTGTGCTCCCCACGGCACTTCCACCTTTGAAATGTAGCAAGAGCCAGCAGGACTCTTGATATATTTCAAAGGCACCCTTATCGACTAGTCAATAAAAACTAGATCAACTATTCAATTAGTTGATTAATCTAAATTTAACATCCTTATTAGGAGATCAGTTTTCCCAAACAGTAACTGATACCAATTATATATGTGGTGTTGATCCCTGAACAGTACAGAGACAAAGTGAGAGAGGTAATACTTTTTATTGGACTAACTTCTAAAGTTTCTCTCTCTCACCAACAGAAGTATTTTTTCCACTCATCTTGCTTCTCATAAATTACACAAATTCTTATGTAACAAAATTCAATCCAATAAAGTTGCCCTAAATGAATTATAAAATGTTCTGTTACTATAAGACCATTGTGAGATTACTTTTCTAAATTACTGAAAAAATCTGTATACACTGTTGAAAAAATAACCCATTAACTTTGATGAAGACCTTATGATTGAAAGCAGTGTTCCCTTTAAGCTGTGAGTTTGTGCAGCCGCTTAGGAGAGATTCAAATGCTGCCCAACTACCCACAGCTAAGTTTTTATTTCTTTTGGTGGTGCACATTCACAAATATCTTGATGCATGTAAAAATGTATTTTACACATAGATGGAAAAGATTAGAGGGAACATGGACTGAAAGGTGTTTATTTGCCAACTTTCACTTCCAAAGCATATCATAAATAGCAAGTGAACATGTTTGCCCAGTAAAACACAACAAAATTCCATAATATTTTTCATTTATTTTAGTCTCTTATTAGGTATCCTATTACTCTGATTTTGAAGAGGATATTAAAGAACTGGGGGTAGAAATGTCCACCTTTTTGGCCTGGTACTTGAGACAAATGGAGCCAAGGTAATGATGAATAAGGATCCTTGGATTTGAGAGGGGAAGGAATTTTAAGGAAAACCTATGTAGATCCATGTTGGATGCCACGACTGACATGATGGCTACATTCAACAACTATTAGTGATCCCAGAGCTCTATTTCACATATCCTATTATATCATACATATTTCTCCATATTTTAATTTTGTTTTTTCTATTGGTTGTCAGTACCTCTAGATCCATGGCTATATGTCCTTTTATGTATGAAGGTTTTAACTTATTAAAAAAATAAGTAACAATTTGGATCACTATGACTGAGGACTAGCTATAACGAGTAACCAGAAAAGAGCAGGTAATCACACCTGTGCATATATGAAATATATTTTGCCTTTAAAGACCTACTCAGTTTTCCTTACTCAGTCAAGAATGTCTATTCATTTAAGTAAGGACTGTTCTCTGAGAAAATAAAGCTGGAAAAGGTCCTTTTTTAGGTTTACTAGTATAAATACAGTAGTCTTTGTAATAAACAACTTTTTTCTTGTTTCATAATACCAAAATTAACTATTATGAAATGTATTGAAAATAAGATAAGAATGTTAACAAAATATTGCATTTGTTCTCTAAAAATGGAACCTTTTTTTTAAATTCTCATTTTTAAACTCTGAACTTTGACTAACTATATTCTCCTTCTACCTCTCGTCTTAGGCATCTGACAAAACAGATAATTATGGACCTTTAGCAGCCTCAATATAATTCTTCTAAACCCAAATATAAATATCAGAGCAGTTAGCATTTATATAAAATATTTATGTAAATTCTTTAGGAAACAAGGGCATAACTTTCTTTAAAATACCCACAAACTCAGGAATTATGTTTTAACATTACCTTTGACAACTGTTGGAACAATGAAAAGAGAGGCTTCCCTTCCCACCTTCTCTCCATCAAGAGGAAATTTCTTCATTAACACTACTCGCTTTCCTACATGTTAAAACAAAGGAAGTCACCTGAGTGCAGGATGGCCATATTGACAAATGGTTGGCAGCTTGAGTCTTTCTGATTCCCAGAAAACAAAATAATATTTTCTGAAAATTGAGGATGCAAATTATATCTGAATAACCCTGAGTGGCTGCATGAACATATGTGCAGCTCAGCACACATACACAGATTGGTAACAGGTAAAGAATTACCATTCTTTTCAATTTCTCTTTATAGGAGTTTTTTCCATGAGCCTAATTATTATCATTACCCTTTTCTAAACCGCCTCTAAAATCTGTAAAATACTTTTAAAATGGGATATGCAGCAATGCACATAATCTTCCACATGATGGTGAACCACCATTTTCCATATTATTCTCCATTCCACTTTTGTGCAACCTAACATCTGATTTTCCTTTTTTACCTTATTTAGCGAAGTTTTCATCAACGTGCACTGTGATATGCAAGTTTTTTCCCCCAAATCCATATTGTTAACTTAGAACTCTGTAAAGTGTATAAATAGTTCAAATTTCCACCACGCTTTACTTTATATTTATTAATGTTGAATTTAGGTTTCATTATGTTATCCATTCAACTAGCTTGATAAAATCCTCTTAAATTCCTCATGGTATTTTGTGCCAGCTACAAATTGTTGCTACTTCACTATTTACTTCTATTACCTCTATTCACTATTTACTATTTTATAGATCGTTAAAAGTTACATGGCTATGGTATAACTTCACCAGCAAAAATCTCCTTTGTGCAGACGTACACAGGAGAAAAGTGCTTTTACCAGTTTAATTTATACCATTTCAGTACACAAAATGAGCTATATCGGCAAAAGCTTTTTTTGCCCGGGTCATACTCTCCTCCTCCCCCAAACACACACATCCTCACTCAAACTGGCCATGACAGTGGTAGGCAATAATATTTGATGGGGGGGCCACCCCAAGAATTTGTAAAGTTGTTGAGGGCTGCACTTTTCCATAATATTAATGGAGGAAGTGCAGGCTCTTGGATGGAGGTTGGGAGCAGACAGGAGTTTGGGGTGCAGGAGGGAGTATGGGGTCTGGGAATGAGCTTGGGTGAAGGAAGCGGTTGTTACCTGGGGTTCTGGACTAGGGTGCAGGGGGTTGGGTTGTGACCTAGAGCAGGGAATTGGGGTACAGGAGGGGATTCAGGAGATTGGAGTACAGGAGTTTGGGTTGGGATCTGGGACAAGGGATGGGGGTGCAGGGTCTGGGAGGGGATATGGCCTGAGGGTTTGGGTATGTGGAGTAGGGGGACAGGAGTGGGAGGCAGAGACATGGAGGAGGGAGGGGCTGGAGTGTCAGAGGTAGGGTCTGGCCAGGAGACTTACCTGGGTCCAGGCCAGCAGCCCAGCACATTCCTGAAGCAGCCTCCCTGCCTGCCAGACCCCCACACAGGCTGCAGGGCCATGTGCATGTGTTAATAACTACGAGCCCTGGAGGGGAGGGGGCAAGGTGCTTTGTGGTTGCCTGTTATTCAAACAGGCAGCTCCCATTGGCCAGTTTCTGGCTAGAAACCGGCCAATGAGATTGTCCTGGGGCTGGAACCAGAGCCTGAAGCTCCCCCTTCCCCTCCTGCTCCGGGTTCACAGTTTTAAAGAGAAATTTTCTGAGTGGCATGTGGGTGGGGCGAAGCAAGCATGGAGCCGGCTTCTGCGGGCCAGATCCAGCCTGTGGGCCATATTTTGCCTGGGCTGGGGCTATACCAAAAAAACTTTTAAGTGTAAGCCTGGTATATTAAACAATTATCATAATACAGAACCCTGAGGAACTCTGCAATTAAGCTTTTGCACTGATGAAAATGGATTATGTATTCTTAACTCTTCATTTCTTATCAGACAGACTTTGATCCATGACAATACTTTATCTCTTATCCCAGAATTACTAGGTTCCTCTACTAGCTTCTTGAAAGGGAACTTGTCAAAGACCTTCATGCAGTCTAAATAAACTATGTCAAATGATTACCTTTCCTTTATTTTACTATCAGACAAGCGAGGCACAAATTTCCTTTGCAAACACTAGCAAGTTAGATACTATCATATCACAGTCTTCCAGGTGTTTTATTATAACTTTGACTAATTTGTCAGTTATCATTTAGAACTATCTATTGCAGAATTTCCTGGAACATCTCTAAAGCCTTTTTTTAAACATAATTTTTTAAAAAACATGATTAAGGTTGTGTGCATTGCAATCTAGTTTTTCCAAGTATTTTAAAGGTTATCTATAAAACTCATTTTGGACAGGTATAGGCACATAAGGTCTCACCTACGATTTAGTTTTTGATTTTTTTAAGAGAGACATATAGAAGAAAAAAGGAAAATAAAGGACGCCCTGAGGGCTCAGTTGCTTGTTTCTATCTGCAGAACTTAAAACAGAGGTTGGTTTTTAAAACATATTGGTTTATTAATTCCTTTAAACTAGCCTATTTTGAGTAATACAATTATTAGAGAGACATCAATGCCAAATGAAGAAAGACAATTCTTACCTTTGATACCTTGATTAGCTGGTGAAATTGGTTTGGTGGTTTCTACTACATAATCCAAGATGCTCTGGGTTATCTCACAGCTTCCCTGAAGTTTAGTTTCCAACAAAACTTTCTTCCTCTTTTTCTTTTGTCCTTCAATGGGAACTTCAAGCAACAAAATCTTGCAAATAATAAAATTAAACAATATTTTAAGCATTACAGAAATATTAGTTTTATTTTCTCAAATAGACTAGCAAGTTTTTATTTTTAACCAGCTATAGTGCTATATGCTGAACTCCCTACATAACAAAGGAAAATTCTGAATGTATTTTCACCCCACTTTTCAGGTCTTCAAACTCATGGATGGCCAAGTTCTGTATGACATTTTACTGCAGACTTCACAACCACCATGAACAATGATGACACAGAGGTTTTTCTACAATAGAGATAGAAATGTAGCCGTGTTAGTTCTGTTTTTTGTTTCAGCTACAACAGACTATGTAACACTTAAACCATCGTGTTAGTCTTTTATTAGGTGATGAGTTTTCGTGGGCCAGACCCACTTCCTCAGATCAAATAGTGGAAGAAAATTGGCACAACCATATATACCAAAGGATACAATCAAAAAATGAACACATATGATTTGTCCTTTTCATATGTGTTCATTTTTTTGATTGTATCCTTTGGTATATATGGTTGTGCCAATTTTCTTCCACTATTTGATCTGAGGAAGTGGGTCTGGCCCACGAAAGCTCATCACCTAATAAAAGACTAACAAGACGGTTTAAGTGTTACATAGTCCTGTTTTTTGTTTAAGTTTTTCTACAACTAATCATTTACATAAAGTATTCCTTTTTATATTTTTAGTATTTCTCATATTGCAGAAGCTGGAATGTATTTCATTTGGCACAAATTATTCCATTAACGGTATGATGAATGTTTGATTTTTATAACTTGAAATCCTTTAATATAAAATAATCTAAGTACAAAGTCATTATACACAAGGCTTTTTATTTATAAAATAGGAATTATAAAAGGTGTAAATTCACAAATTGATCCTAGGTAGTAAATTGTAAAAGCAGTACCAAAATTCAAATAGTACTGAAAAGAAAACAGCATGTTCTAGAAGGTCATACTCACTTGACACCCAAAGATACAGAAATGGGAAAAGCCAAGATCTCAATTTTCTATTAAGTTCCACACAGCACAGAGCTCTACCAAAATGGAACCTGGTGTGGGACTGGATCTCACCCTTAAAGATCTGACTTTGTTAACACTTGCCCATGTATGACAGAGTTTGTCATAAAACAGCAACTGTTTGACGTGTTCCTGCCAACATGCTATGCTAAGTAGGGATGATGCTTACCTGGAAACAATTAACTGGTTCCCTGGGAGCAGCCCCCATGCCTGCCTGTGGCCTGCCCCCTATGGCTAGGGCAAGGAGCTGGCCCTGACAGCTTGCCCTGCACAGCTGATGGCTGGGGCTGGAGCTAGGAGCTGGCAGCCAGCCAGCCGGGCTGGAGCAGTCCCCCATCCATGATCCCACTTAGTCCGTTAACCAGTGAAATGTTAGGTTAACCTAACATTTCACTGGTTAACTGACAGATTAGGATTTTACATCCCTAGAGGTTATATTGATTTTTAGCACAAAGAAAATGTAATTTAAAAAAAAAATCACTTCAGAAACTTAGAAGCATTTAACCTGAACTTTTGCAGTATATACTGTGATTATGGCATTTGTTTAAACTGTAACATAATACATTAAAAATTGTTTCAGTATTTGTTGTGTTAGTACACTAGCCTAAGACACAGCTTCAGCTCCCTGTTCCTTAGCTCCCCACTCTGCAAAACAGGGATAATTACACTTCCCTATGTCAGAAAGGCTTTTCTGAGGATAAATAGATAAAGGGAAACAGTGGGACACTCAGATAGCTTCCATTGCCATAGTAGCTAAGACTGCTCAGACAGTATATATCTGAACTGTAGGCTAATCAAAGTAAGTTTTAAAAAAATGTTTATACTTCGTATGATTTAGCTCGATATTCCCGAGAATTCAGACTAGCAGTATTCTTTGGACGAATCACAGCAACATATGCATCTCCTATGTTTTCTGGGTTTCCCATGGTTTATTCTTTTTCATTTATTACTAGAGATAATGAAATAAACAGAAATCAAAGGTTAAATTGAGGAAACAAGATAAAAAAACAAACATGATATCGCATGCTAGCATAAATAACTGTATTAACCAATGTTTTCCATTTAAAATACATTAATAATCTTTTTTACCGTCTGGAGAAATTACACCTGAACATCTTTAAGCTGACAACCCAAACACAGTACATGAAATCACAGAATTTTCTGGACCAGAGGGCAGAACTGCTTTCTACTCAACTACAATCACTCCATGACTAAGAATACCCCGAGTATGGACGGCCAGGTGTACTTAAACAATTGTTATACCGGTAATTCATTTAATGGATATGATCATTCATTTTCCTTTTTATACACTATAACATAAAACACAGAGATATACCAATCTTGTAGAAGTGGAATGGACCTTGAGAGATCATCAAGTCCAGTCGCCTGCCCTTATGGCAGAACCAAGTACCATCCCTGACACATATGTCCCAGACCCCTAAATGGCCCACACAAGGATTGAACTCACAACCCTGGGTTTAGCAGGCCAATGCTCAAACCACTGAGCTATCCCTCCCCCTCATTAAGAGAATTTATCAGTAAAATCCCCCCATACTGTACAGAATGAATAGGAGTAAACCTGTTCTCTAATATTTTAATAATTGAGCTTGAAAGGACTGGATTTTTTTGGATAAGTGTCAGTAAATGTCAATTTTACTGTGAACACAAACTGTTGAAAAAATATTACATTAAAAATAAAAAGTGAAATTTACAGATAGGCAAAGAAATAAAAGTTGTTTGAGAAATAAAAGTTGTTTGAGAACTTATTTGAATTTAATTTTAAAATATTTAGTTTATAATTTGACATGTGACATTGACAATTGCTGTTGCAATGGTTGTAAAGCCGACTCTTTGAATATCAGTATCTTATTAAAAAAAAGTCAGATTTCCAACTGAAAGCTTAAATGGATAAAACCTGTAATTTTGCACAAACGTGAAAAATGTAAAATCAATAATGAAAAACTTTAAAACAAACATCAATATTATCCATTGAAATTATAAAAAAATAAAAATGTATAAAAAATAAAAATAAAATTCTGCTAAGACTATTTGTAATGTAAAGATGATGATTGCACCTCTTTCAACGAGCTCGCATTCTCCATACAGTAGAACCATTCAGTTCTGAACACCACGGGAATAGCAGTTGTTTGCATCACTGAACAAAATACTATTCTTTCAGAAGTTTACAACTGAACACTGACTTAATACACCTTTGAAACTTTATTATGTAGAATAAAAATGCTGCTTCCAACTATCTTATTTAAATGAAACTAGAACAGAAATAGTTTTTTGCTCATCAAATCTTCTTTTTAAACTTTCCCATTATTTTTGCAGTACATTTTACATTTAACACAAGCAAATATAATAAAGTACTTTTTTTTTTGTCTCTGTTGCTTTCTGACTGCATACTTCCAGTTCCAAATGAGGTATGCAATTGACTGGTAAGATTGTAACTCTAGTGTTCATAACTTGTGAGGTTCTACTGTATTTTGTAATTCGCCAAAAAGGTAAGCAATTCTAGAATCTCAATTCTGGATCTCAAAGCTGTGATTACTCTTCTTTGTATTAAAGTAGATTATAGCTGCATTCCCCTATAATCCCAAAATCTTTCAACAAAATTAAATAAAAAAACCCTCCAGTAGGTAACTAGCTCTATACTTTACTATTCAGAAAGAAGATAGTCTCTGACTCATGTCAGATAATCTTTTCCCGGACCCACAACTGAAAATCCTTTCATCGGTATACATTATATGTCAATTTGTCTTTCCACAAAATGGAAATTTTTATCATTACCATTTATAGTTTGCAGTGCTGCTGCACCTCTTCAGAGGATAAAAGGAGGACTTCTGTTTTCCATGCGCTCAATCCAGTATATTTCACCAGAGTAACAAACTGAAAAATGCAAAGGAAAAAGAATTCTAATTAAATGTGAAATGTTATGAACAAGACTGTGATTAAGAATGTTTTCATTATAACAATTTCAGAACTAGTTAAGTTCACAGAGGAAAGGTCCATCAGTTAGCCAGCCTGGTCAGGGATGTAACCTGTGCTCTGGGTGTCCTAATTTCCAGAAGCTGGGAGTGGAGAACAGGGAATGAATCACTTGATAATTGTCCTCCTCTGTTCATTCTCTCTGAAGCTTCTAACATTGGCCTCGGTCAGAAAAGAGGCTACTGGGCTAGATAGACCATTGATCTGACTTAGTATGCTATTCTTGTATTTATTGTTTTGTCAACTTCAAGATATCAACACTAGGAATGGCACGCCTGTATGAAGGAATTTCGGGGGGGGGGCGAGGGAGGTGGAAGCTGTGGGAGGGGCTGGTGGCTGCCCAACCCCCTGTGGCCCAGCCCAGCCCTTACTCCTGGGTGAGGAAGGGCGGAAGGGAAATCAGCACTAGCCTTCTCAAGTTGGCCAGAGCACAGGGGAGGGAGGCTGAGGCAGTGCACCTCCCTGCTTTCCCTAGGTCAGCCAGAATTGGCCCTATGGTTGACCATGAAGGGATATGTTCACACTCTTTGCACCTCTCCCTTGCGTACAGGCCTGAATGGGAGAGAAGTCTTTAAATATTGGTTTGTATTAGAGTAGTATCTGAACCCAATCAAGCCTCAAGCCCCACTATGCTAACTGCTCTACCAAAGTGGTCTCCAACCTTTTTAAGCACAAAATCACTTTTTGAATTTAAGTGCAATCCAAGATCTACCTCAAACCCAGACATTTTTGCCCCCTCTCCTTCCCCACCCTTTCTGTGAGGCCCCATCCTGCTTACTCCCTCCCCCATCCTCACTCACTTTTACCAGGATAGGGCAGGAGGTTGGGGATGTGTACAGTGACCATATTTTCTGAACCAAAAATAGGGACACAGTAGCAATGCCCCCAGCCTCATTAGCCACACACTTGATCCCTTAGGCCCTGCCTATCTGTCACAAAGTTCCATCCCTGGAGGTAGTACCTTCCAGGGTTAAGAGGGACATATGACTGGAAGTAAAGGATGTTGTGTGACCCCTCTAAGAACTTCTTGCACTGTCCTCTGCCAATGTGGATGAGCATTAACTCGGAGGAGGGAGAAGGGGGGAAAGAAATGGGGGTGCCTCTATTTCAGTAGTTCTCAAACTTTTTGTCCTGTGAACCACCTGGCTCAACGTAAACTTTTCCGTGGACCACCAGTTGCTAATGGAAACTCACTGTTAATTACATAATTACGCTTGAGCCATTTTGCTAGTGCTGCAGCTAAGGAGAATGATATAATTTAAATTATTAAACAGATTAAGTGTTTTAACTTTGTGTTTATTTAAAATGAAGTTTGATAAACTAAGTAAAATATTAATTTATGACCAACACAAAAGGTTTTAATGTTTTCTTTACTTATGGCAGAGGCAAGGAACCTTTTTTGGGTTGGGGGCCACTGACCCACAGAAAAATCAGCTGGTACTACACAAGTAGTAAAAACACTCCTCCCAAAACCCCCAACCCTCACTCATCTGGCCCCCAACTGAGACACCTTACTCCTCTGGTGTCCCAGGTCCACAGGGAGAGGGATGGGATAGCGAGGAATGAGGTTCAATATGATTAGTCAATAAGCACCACTCTGCAGAGCCACAGTGGGGTAGCTTCAGGAGCCGGCTCTAGCTGGGACTCAGCAGTCCTGGGTCATGCAGGCTCTGGGAGCCACCTGTGCTGTGGCTCTGCATTTTAAATTTAGTAAAATTTAAATTTAAACAGACAGCCCAGGCCACCATGAACAGAGGCTGCTTGGTAGTAGCAGCCCATGTCTTCAAGGGGCCCAGCTCCCTGTTGGGACCCCCATGGACAGGGGCTCGGCCTGCCACGGACAGAGGCTGCTTTGCAGCAGCTTCTCCTCCATCCCTTCTGCTGCTTCTGATAGACCAGACCGGGGTAAAATGCGGCCCAGGGGCTAGATTCAGCCCACCAAGCCACCAGATCCGGCCCGCCTTAAAACCCAGTCCCTGTGTCTCTACTGTGCAGGGAGACAGAGGCTTTGTGTGATCTCTCCACCTCCAGCCTGATCCTCAGCTTCTATTGGCCAGAACAACTGGCCAATAAGAATTGACCTCAACCAATCTCTCAGCTCCTATTGACTGGAAACAGCCAGCCAATCGGAGCTGAGAGATTGGCCTGAGTGACAGGGGCAATGCAAGCCTCTTCCCCCAAACTAACTTGAGAACCATGTGGAGGGAGGAGGCTGCATTTTCCGGTGGACTGGGGCTGCAGCAGGCAGGGAGCCCAGTCTGCCTTGCGGGTGCTGCAGCCTGCTGGCCAGGAGACACTTAGATAAACTCCTCCCAGCCAGTGCCTGCATCTAGCACCCCAACTCCTCCTGTACCTCAACTCCCTTCCCCAGGTTACCCTCCAAACCCTCTGCACCCCTGCCCCAACTCCCTCCCAGACCTGTCCTGCACCCCTTCCCCAGGCCAGAATCCTCTCCTGCACCCACCCTTCTCTGACCCTACACCCCAATCTCCTGATCTAGGTCACAACCCCCTCCTCCAACCAAACACCGTCTCTGACCCCACGCTGACTCCTGCCAGTAGATCAGGATCAACTGGTAGAACTTGGAGCCTCTGACTGGTGATCTTGACTGATCAAGTAGCAATAAAATGAACAGAGTTTAGCAGAAGTTATAGCTAAAGTTAAGATTTTATCATAATTACTTTTTGTAAAAGTCATGGGCAGCCTGTGTCATTAAGCAAAAATTAATATCCGTTGGGGCATGGGAACTTATTGCTGGAGGTTTGAAGGGCTGAACCTTGAGCCCTGGTGCAGACTGGTGCCTGACAGCCTACAGTTCTGCCACCTGAAGAAGGTGAAGTTAACAGCCGGGAGCCCCAGTGCTCGCCTGCATGACTGAAGATGAAGCCGAAGTAGTCATGAAGATGCATTAAAGTCACTGCATCTGTGACCTCCATGGCAAAATTGTATTCTTAGTCACAGCATTTCATTTGCCTAACCAATGCCAAATAGGAGTTAATGGTAAGCATTCTATCCCAAGTACTTCCTAAAGGTTGGATTTAAATTGCTTTTCTAGCAGGATGGATAAAAGTGGATTTAAAATTATTAATTTTTTAAATTTTAAATTGGATTTTTACTTACATTAAATACAGGTTTATTTTTTTAATGAACCTATTTAAAATTAAATTTGAATCTTTGATAACCTATGTTAAGTCCTAGACTTACTATAATCCATTAAAATAATGTAAATTAAGACTGTAATATTAAGCAGTACATATCCGCTGTCAATTTTAAAAAAAAGTTATGTTCACTGAACTGGGGAAAGTCCCTGGCTATGCCCTTCTAACCAGAGTTTAAGTGCTAAACCAGCTTTTATGCAGAGTTGGCATAGCTGTGTTTGCCCCAGGATATTAGACATACAAGATGGATGAAGTAACATCTTTTATTGGACCTACTTCTGTTCATTAGAGACACAAGCCTCTGAGCCTAAATGGAACTCTTCTTCAGATTGGGGAAAGGCATTCCAAGTGTCACAGCTAAATCAAGGCAGAGAAGATAGTTTAGCACAGGGGTCAGCAACTTATGGCTTGGGAGCCAGATATGGCTCTTCTGGAATCCCAATGCAGCCTCTCCCCAGATTCCCCTGCGGGAGGGAGCCAGCGCTGGCACTACAGCCTTATCTCCCCCCGTCCCGTCCCCCCCGCAAGACTAAAATGCCAGCATCAGCTTCCTGCAAGAGGGAGGAGGGGAAAGAAAGCCCTGAGCCTGTCTGCATGCGGAGAACAAAATGGCTCAGTGCGCCGCCCTTTTTTTTCCTGCCCCCAGGATCAAGACTGGCTCCATGCGCTGTCATTTTCTTTCCCCGGGAAATACTTCCTGCAGGCTTCCCCTGCGAATCCTGCCTGGCCAAATGGAAGTAGCAGGAAGCTTGTTACATGCGGCATGAAAACAAATAAGTGCCCCACAACCCTCATGCACAGACCCTGCACCCCTCTGGCCAGAGAGCCTGCCCCCAGCCTACTCCTGCCCCCCAGCCAGAAAGCCTGCCCCCTGCCAGACACCCTGCCTCATTCCATTCTTGCCCCTTGCGAGACACCCTTCCCTCAGCCCGCTCATGCCCCCTGGCCTCTCCTACTCCCTTCCCTCGGCCAGATACCCTACTCCCAGCTGGCTCCTGCCCACTACCTTCCACCCAGACCTCACCCGCTCACCCTTTCCTACACCCTACCTCCTTCCTAGATTCTGCACCCCCATCCCTATCCCATTCACTGGCAGCTCTGCCCCGCACACTGAACCCCTCATTTTGGCCCCACTCAAGAGCCTAAGGAGGAGCCCACAAACTATTCTAACTCAACTCCCTCAGAGGTCTTGACCCTCAGTCCTCTCTGCCGCTCCCCCCACCATGGGGCTCAAGCACCAAGGGAGTGAGGTTTCAGTTGTGAGTCACATCAGAGAGGGTTGGAGGGTGTGTGCGTGTTTGTCTTTTGCTTCTCACTTATGTGGTCCCCAACTAATTTTTCTGTGGGTCAGTGGCCCCCAACTCAAAAGGGGTTCCCCACTCCTGCCATAAATAAAGACAATGTTTAATCTTTTTGTGATGGACATAATATTTCACTTTCTTTGAAAATGGAGCTTGGCCAACAAGTGCCCAATTGGGGCCCAATCCCCATCTGGCTGTAGCATCATAACACTCCTACACCCCCAATCCTTAGTCCATAATAAACCCGAACACCCTGCCCTGAGCCCTCATACTGCTACATTCCTAGACTCCCGCACCTCCACATCCTCAGTTCCTTGCCATAACACTGCTGTACTTGCACATACCCCAACCTGGCCCATCATACATCTACCCCCACATTCCCAAACTTCTGTACCCCCACATCCCTGTTCCCTTCCGTAACACTTCTGCACCCTCACGCACT